CCCCAAAACCCCAAAACCCCAAAACCCCAAAATTGCTAGCAATAGTTGAAAAATTATAGGAATGAGGAGTATTCCTCAAATGGGCCTGTTCTTTCAAACATGCCATATGCATTATTACTGCTTAGGTTTTGATAATGCCTCCTAGGGTGTCTCCCAACAGCTTTATGCTTGATACTTCTCTTAAAATTTCCGATGATAGTACTTTTAAGTTTTCTTTTGATAGGGACTTTAGCTTCACTTTTACTAGCTCTATTATGTCTTACAAGAGGTAAACTATTTCTGTTCTTCATTAATGTATTAAACTTTGATTTAATTGTGCTTATTCCTCATATTCTTGCCTGAGAGATCGCTCTTGATTCTCGATCTCTTGGAGCCACAACTCTACTAATATGAGAATCTTCAATTGTAGACTTATGGTTTTTGAATTTAGAGATATCACCAAGAGCCCAGGAAAGGAATTGCTTTGTCTTTCTATTTCTCCTGAGCCTGCCTTGTTGATATACTCTTAAGTAAATTCTTATTTCTCTGCACTAATCTCTGAGTGTCTTCCTTCCTATGTTTGTCTTGTTCTCTTCGATCTCTTTCGATCCGAAGGAGCATGGCTCTGATCGTTTTTTGATGTGTAAAATTAAGTTTTACCTTATTTTTGTCAACATCAAGATCTGATTCTATCGCAGCCTTAGTGTATTCTATCTTTTCTTGCTCTTCAGCTTTCTCTCTGAGATGGTTGGCTTCTTCATATTTGCCAAGGGATATTAGTTTGTTGATCTTATTCCTCAAAAGGATTAGGTCTTGAGAAAGTGTCACTTTAAACGTTGGGTTATTATTCATGATATCTTCAAGCTCTTTGACTTCCTTCTTCTGATCTTTTTGGGCATTTCCAATAGATTCTTGGGCTGATTGTTCGTAATCTTCCATAAAAGAGTCCCAAGATTCTATAAGAATTATAAAGGCAAGTTACCTTGGAAGTGCTCAAATTGCTTATTTTTGTGCCTTCTTTACTTCTTTCACCTCTTTCTCATGAGATATTCACATGTTGGTTAGCTGTTTGATCATTTCTTTGCTCCTAAGCTCAGAGATCTTTTTCTTTGACTTATTTAGCCTCCATAAGCTTTCCTTCCTTGAGGTACTGCTTTTTGTAGTTAGTAAGAGTTTTGATTTGATCAATAACTCTGAGGTCAGGCAAGAAGTACACCCCAGTCTTAGGCAGCATTGTTCCATATAGCTTCCTCTCCTTTTCAGTTGGGGATCTAGGAGGTTGGTAACTTGACTTCCAAGATACCCCCTCTGCAACTGACTTTGACCTTAATCGAGGTTTAACATTTTGAGTAGGAATTTCATGATAGAATTTTATATTACCCTCTAAAGGTTTTTCCTCTGATTCGAAATCCTTATGTGCTTGTTCCTGTAACTCAGGCTCAGGTTCAGGAGTGTATATTTCCTCAATATCATTATTCTTAAAATGCTTCTGAGTTTGTTCAAAAACTTCATATTCTGGATGGATTGGCTCATCTTGGCCATAATCTCCCGATGTGTAATGACTAGCATAGATGTCATGCTCATAGTCAGTACTGGAGAGGTCGTTGTGAGGTCTCTGATGAAAAGTCTTACTCTGGATGCTTAAATCTTGATCAATATCGTCATGAGTTTTGTCAATCTCAGTCTCGAGTCTTTGCATAATTTTAACGAAGAGGTTAAATTTTATTTTTCCCTTTCCATGAAGATTGTTCAATCCAAACTCTCTAAGAATAATAGGAAGTTCGTCAGGGTTTCTCCCGAAAGACTGAAATATTGAGCCTAAATCTGTGAGAGACACCTCTCCTTTATTGGTCTTATCAAAAGTATTGAAAACCGTCTTGAACCCTGCCATCTCTTCTTTTGTATATTCTGTAATCCCATCATTTTCCTAGTTGGAGAATTAGAAAATTTACAGCTGCTGGAAGCTTACTCTGGCATGTTCTTCAACTCTTCTTGGTTGAGTCTTAAACTGTGAAGAGAAATTCTTGTCTAATGAATAGTTATCAGGGCTCGGCTTGAAGAATTGATAAGTCTTCCTTCTCAGCTCAATCGTCTCTTCATCTACCAAGGGCTGGCCCTGTCCTTGGTGAGGTTTATTTATTGGGCGAGCTATTATTAAGCTCTTCTCTAACTCTAAATCTTGCTTTTCCCTCTGTGTTATAAAACTGGTTTCCCATTTTTAGAAAGTTAGGGTTGTTATAGCCATTATATTCCTGTTCAGCCTGGTAGTTACCTTTAGTTTGCTTGGATTCATTCCGTGTGCTGCCTTTGAGATATGGCTCTAGTGATAAGTCACCATTGAGAGGGACCTTTTCTGTAGCTTTTGCAAGGGAATCCAATTTATTTTCTAATAAATTTTGACTTGTATTTGACCTTCTTGATTGCCTTTTAAAAGACATTTTGGATGAAATTTAGAATATTTATAAATGGTCCATAATCAAGATTTAAGGAATTTAAAGGGGTTTTGGGGTTTTGGGGTTTTGGGG